AACAGCTTTGCTCGTGGCGGAGAGAGAGAGAGAGAGAGAGAGAGAGAGAGAGAGAGAGAGAGAGAGAGAGAGAGAGCACGACGCGGACAAAAAATAAATTGCTGTTACGCCTCGTTGAAAAGTTGAAAATAATAAATTGTCTCCATTAGGGCGCGGTTGGGTCGTCGAACTCTTCCCTGTACGTGTCACCCCTTCAGCTTTTCTTTCCCAATTATGAGTTTACTCAGTGAGAACAGGACTGGCGCTCGTGATCGAGGTAAATTCTCAAAGGAGTTTTAGGTATTGAAAAAAAAAAAAGGACACGAGGCAAAGTCGAGTAGGAAATGGAAAACAAAAAATGTAGAACCACGAAAAGGTGAGAGGATAGCTGATAAAAGATACTTCGGGTGTATTGAAAAAATCTTGAAAAATAAGATACGGGTAAAATGCAAATAACGTATTTTATATCGAGAAGACAAAAACTGTCTACTTGCTATGTATATACAGATATTATACTATATAGCTCTGCACGAATATATTTGGTGTATCCTGCAATATCCTATCTATATGCGTGAACAATATGCACGAGTAGGAAGAAGAAACTCCGCAATTTTCTTTACTAGATTCAAGAATCTATTGTACTCTATTTTTAGATGCCAGAATGTACATCCAATGTGTCTATACTAGCGTAATCTAAACCTGAGCGAAAAGAACGCGAAACCTTTTACCTTAGGTCCCAATTCAGATTGCAGGGATAGTACGAAAGGGGGGTGAGACGTAGCACTGTTGGACTCTGGAGGTGAGAGAGGGTGGAGGGTGGCTTTGCTTTTATCTAATAAACCTTAAAAGCAAATGCTTCCTGTAGTCTGTACCTATAGACAAAACAAAGATAAGTGTATTAAAGGGATTTCGTTTGCTAGTGAAGACTGCAAAGTAGGTACAGTCGAGTTGTATCAGCGTTAAAGGTACTTGAGTATTTCATTTGTAAAATACACTAGTGCTATAGGAATAATATTCGCACTGGTCACGTATAAAAAAAATATTAGACACTTGACATCCCGTGTTCGGAATTTTGATAAAAACTCTGCAATCGCTCTCTACAAGAATGCATAATGACTCTATGACACTTGCGTTACCCAGTGGCGTAACTCTATATTACGTTTCACTATATTCCACGTATGGCAAGGTAATAAAATAAAATTTAATTATAAATTTATTTCGCAACTGGGTAAAATCTCCTAACCTTTTTTCCGGTGAAATCGAATTACCGCAGCTTTCTTAATACTTTCGTACGTTTGATTGTTGTTAGTAGACAAACCCCTTTAACGCGTACGTTAACCCTGTACCAACGGAAGGTACTCGACGTGGCGCAGGAGCACTTTGCCAATGAAATTACCAAAAATACGCAGGGCCGTACCTTCCGCAACATGAGCCTCGTACTTAATAAGTTTTTACTACGAGTTACCCGACGAGGGCGAATATTCCCATTTCGCTCGAAATAGGCGAGAATACCAGCTGCCTCGTCCCCCACGTCCGAAAGGAACATTTCGGCAGGCTTAATGGAAGCCCGCAGGTATAGGTGAGTCTTCTCTGTGCTCTGCGTTGTACGATGACAGGGGTTCTATATACCCTAGGGAAATGTCAGGGGTATCGCAGTGATTCGAGTGAACGACGGAAAACGCAACCGCACAGGTCACTAGACTCGTTTCGACCGAGAGTGCAATGTCAGCCGTGGCAATTGCACATAAAGTTACTGGGGCGCGCAAAGCGAAGTGAACCAATAGAGGGAGAAAGAGGAAGAGGAAAAAAAAGGCTGAAGAGAGAGATGATTAAAGTGGGGATGACAAGAGACAGTCGGGTTCGTTGTAGAATCGTGAAAGAATATAGATAGCAATGTCGAGAGGAGCGGAGAACAAATTATTGCATGGAATTTTTCTATTTCCTATATATGATTTTTTTTCATCTCTTTTTCTCTTCACGTCCGATATATTCCAACTATAATCGCTACCACTTTGGAAAGGCGGCACAAAAGGTTCTACCAATTTTTTTTTTTTTTTTTTTTTTTTTTTTCATTCTCGCGATTGTCACGCTCAAGAGGAGCGTTCACACTGTGCGCTCATTCACAATGACGATCGCACAATGGCTGTTCGCTCATCCGAAATTCGTATCTTTATACTTCATCTGAATTCCTACGTCAATTGTAGAAAAGTGACTCGTCCTCTTTCGTAGGTGGGGAAAAAAATCATTTTCACCAAACGAATTGAATTCCGGCCGATTAACCCGTTAACCCTCGTCCTTTTACAAACCCCCACCCCCTCCCAGCTCACTGTCACAGAGCCTTTAGTATGGATCGATATACTAGAAGCTGAGATATTCCTGCCTGTAACTGATAGGTCCTTCCATTCGTTTTTCTCACCCTGTCCTTTAGTAATGGATCTCGTAGTTTTCTGTGCTCGTATATGTACTTTCCAAAGGAACACCCTCTTAGTCTATTGATCTAGAAATATCTGCGTTTCATAACGCGAGGGGAGATAACCGCAGATTTTAGAATTTTCTTATCCTTTTAAAATTGACGACTTGTGTCCTGAAGGAGTAGAAGTTCAAATTTTTACCGTCTAATGTTCAAAAATAATATCCGTACACGGAACTTAAATTTTTACGTGATCGTTAATCGAATTTCAGGTTATGAGAGAAAACGAACTATGAGGGAAAATTTTCTTAAAAATTTACGTTCACCACCAACTGTATATACAGAAGAAATTCTACGATCAACACCTTCTTTTGCTATGTTCCACGAAAGTAGGTATAAAAAGCAGACAAGTCACGAGGTAATCAAGACCCCAACGACGTAGTAGCGCCGTAGACGTACACGAATAAAGGAATTGCACTGTCAAGAAAAGTTCGGTTCTGCTTTTACTCGAGAGTTATTTTTCGAAAGGACTCTTATTTTTCGTAAATAAAGAAAATCCCCCAAAGAAGTCTATTGCTCTGTATATCCTCCACGTCACGTGCTGTACGTTTCAGCTTCTCCACGCTTGTTACTAAACGAGGAAAGGACAACTCCGACAGTCGAGATAAAACAAACGGAAACCGCCGAACTAATCAGACTGAGGCGATTCCAGGTATTCCCGGAGGTTGCCGTCTCACCGAACAGGATAATTTAAACTTTCTCACGATAGTATCCATCGGCACCCATGCGCAGTGATTCCGACTAAACAGAATGGCATGGAAGTATAAAATTCAAATATTAGCAGAGAATGATAACACAGTCTGTGGTTACTAAATTGGCGCTGAAGGTATTAAAGGATGATACTGCAGCCGGATAGTTAGGATAATTAAAAGTTTTAATCCAAAGATTTTCATTGAAATTAATACTGAAGATGATTAATAATATTACAGGCAGCTTACCGATATCCATCTACAAAATTTCATTATCCTACGTATCTAGCCGATTGCTTTATTAATCTTGCATTGTCTACCTGTAATGGACATTTCGAACGAATTCCAACGGCGCTCCGACGTTACTGATCCTATTGAATTTTCAGCAGGTTGTCCAATTTCGATCCGATCTAGACACGAACGTCCAACCGAATCAATTCGGGCGCGAATTCAAATGATAAAACAATAATCCACCAATCGCATAGATCAAAGTATCAAGTCAAGTAGATTCGCAGCTAAAAGTCAACGGACCTACTGATTGAATTATACAATACCGTTTCTTCGATCGATCCTCGCTGAAATTTTTTAATGAAAAAAAAAAGACTATTCCGACACCGTATAAAACGACGTCGTTAAAATTATTTTAATGAAACCCCATGCATAATGCATTCGCCGACGTTGCTGACTCTTCAAGAGATACTAATATATCTAGATGATAGGAACGTAAATCCTTAACGACATAGTGACAGTAAACGCTTTAGCACACGAGCCCATTACAATCCATGGTGATTATGCGTCTTATGAGAATTCAATGCAATAAATTTTACGTATTAATAGCTTGACACCCATGAAATTCTTAACGACTCCGTTACCGGCTTATATCACTTGACTCTAAGCAAATCGATATAATAAACGAATTCTGCATATAAGCAGGATTCAAAAAAAAAGTACCTGGTCTTTGACTCACTTTTTTTTTTTAACCACAGTACATTACGGAAATGACTCCGAGGCATTTTACAGGGATCAGTACGTTTCCGCGGATATTTTGCGGCCTTGTTGGACGAAATGACGGTGTGGGCGACTCCCTCCGCAAGGGAGGACGAGGAATCGGCTATGGCGACGGCGAACACAGCAGGGCTGTTTTTAAAGCGCGGCCTCAAATTGTGATGCATGAGTGGCTTAAAAGGCCATAGCTATTACCGTCCGCTGTGCATGGGGAAAATTTGGATATTCGTCACTGCCAACTGCCGCGCGTTTTCTCTCACCCACCCCCAGCCCCCC